ATATTCACCTCATTAACCTTTCTTACTCCTTTAAAAATTTTAATTGGCCAATTATAATTATATTATAGTTGCATACGCTTTTAGGTTCAGTGTAATGTTATATTTGCATACAATGTAGATTGATTAAATCAAGCTAGTTAACATTTTCAGCATTTCATATATTTATCATTGTTTATGGTGAGAACACTTGAAATTAATCCTTAAAGAATTTTGATGCACACAGTATATTATTTACTGTGCAACGGATCTTTCAAAAAACAAAAGAAATGAACAAACAACAACAAACAAGCCATCTGGTCCTCCTGTGAGAAACCTGTACACTTGGACCAACACCTCCCCATTCTCCCTCCAGACCACCCATCCCTAGGCTGAGTAACCCCATTGTCTGCCCTGTGACCGACTGTTTAGAACTCAATCCTAAGACAGCATGCAACAATGTCTTTCTGAATCTTTCTCATTTCACACAACTCAGCATCTTACTATCCTAGTGTGCAAGACTTGAAGCCTGGGGGATAAATCATCTCCTTCAAGACAATTTACTCAATTTTAAGACAATTTCTTAATTATCATATACTTCGGATGTTTTGCTATTTGGTGTGTGTATGTGTGTGCATCTGTGTGTGTGTGCTTGTGCATATATTTACACATGAATGTGTGTGTTCAAATGTGTGTACACGTGTATGCATATGCCTGTGGAGACCAAAAGTTGACATCGGGTGTCTTCTTCAGTTGCTTTCTACTTTGTTTGTTTGTTTGTTTTTGTAACAGGCTCTCTCACTGACCCAAACTCACTGATTGCTGAGAGTGTCTGGCCTGTGAGTCTCCACTCTCCAGCACTGGGATTACAGTTGAACACCGACATGCCAGACCTTTTACATGGCTTCTGGGGATCCAAATTCATGTCCCCGTGCTTATACAGCAAACACCTTACCCACTGAGCTGTCTCTTTACCTTATAGTACTCAGACATTTTATAGAATACAAAATTTGCTTGTGTTTTGGAGATAAACGCACTTATGTCATTTATTCATTCCTCTGTCACTGGGTGCTTCTCTCAATGGATTCTCACCCTCCTTATGGTTAATAATTTCTTTCTTTAGAGAAAACCACACAGAGTTTTATTTGTTCATATTAATATCAAGGAGACCTGTTCTTTTTTATTTCCTAATTGAGTTGGGAAAGAGAAAACTTGGGGGGGATCAATGGCTTTTTACTTAAATTGTAAATTTTGCTTTAAAAGAAAAAGTTCACTCTCCCAATATGTAGACTGGAAGTCTTGCACAGAACTACAGTTTATTAGAGACCAAATGTTTCTTTGCGTTTAAAGAAATTACAAATACATTACGTAGAGCCAGGTGTGGTGGCACACATCTGTAATCCTCATACTCAGGAGGCTGAGGCAAGAGGATCAGGGGTTCAAGGTCAGCCTAGGCAACATGAAAGCTTGTCTTAAACAAAAACCCAATAAAAAGGGGGAGATATATGATATATGTATATTAGCATGTGCAATGTAAGTTTACTCTTTGAGGCCTTTATGGCACCTAAGAGAAATTTAATTTAATGGTAATATTTTGATATTTATCCAGTGAAGTGTCCTTGGGACTTTATGAAGCCACCAGAAAGAAGCAGAGGGTGAGACCAATAGTAGGGGTTTAGTTAGGTAAATAAGGTTAAGTACAGCCAAACACACAGTAGGCCAGTATATGCAAACCTTGCTTTACACAGGCAATTACAAAAATACTTATACAAGGACTACAGCTCATGATGAAATGTTTGAACCCTTTTCCAGCTGTGCACTCTTTCTTGTTGGCTGCAAATGACTCATCTGGAACTATGGGATACAGAAGGAGGGAAAGGAGCAGACTTGGGAGCGAGCCATCCACCCTGAAGGGTTGACTCCAACCTGAATGTACATGCACTCCCTGCAGTCCAGAGCAAAACGTAGTGTCAGAAATTTAAGTAATTTTATAGGTAGTTTCTGAACTTACCTCAGTTTCCCTTGTGGAACAGTAGCTTTCTGACAAGTCCCATGTGATTTGGGTGATGTGTCTTTTTTTATTAATTTTTTTATTCCTGTGCATTGGTGCTTTACCTGTATGTCTGTTTGAGAGTGTCAGATACCCTGGAACTGAGTTACAGACAATTTTAAGCTGCCATGTGGGTGCTGGAAATTGAACCCAGGTTCTCTGGAATGCTCTTAATGACTGAGCCATCTCTGCAGCTCCTGGGTAATATGTCTTTTAAAGAGCAGATTATTTAGCCACCAATCCCAGCCTGAGTCTGGGGAATTTATCTTATTTTAACTTTTATTATTTTCATCTTTTATGGTATTGGAGACTGAAGCCATGGTCTTGTGCAAGCTAGATAAGCACTCTACCACTGAGTGACAGTCTCAGCTCTATACTCAGTGGTCTCAGTCACATGACAAACACAGTCAGAGCCAGGCATGGTGATTCAGGTCTATGGCCCCAGCCCTTTGGAAATGGAGGCAGGAGGACTGGAAGACCAAGGTCATCCCTGGCTGGGATATCTAAGTCCCTGTCTCAAAAGCCCAAAGCCAGGACCAGTGAGGTGGCTCAAGTAGATGAAGGTGCTTGTCATCAAGCCTGATGAGGGACTTGTGGTAGAAGGAGAGAACTGGCTGGTCCTCTGACCTCACATACACCTTGGTGTACACACCAAAAATGTACTTCTTAAAGTAAAGATGGTGTGGCTCCCTGTGCTCTCTTGTCTGTAGACTTTGTTGATGCTAGCCCCTAAAATACTGGGTATTCTCCCCTCACCCCCGATTTGGGCTAGCGCTCAGGCTTCTGGAGTCCTTAGGATTCTGAATGTCACTCTGCCCTGGCTTTCATGACCTATTCTGGTGGAGCTGAGCCCTACTTTTACACTTACTTTTAGTGTTTGTTTTGTTTTGTTGAAACATACCTCAGGCTAGCCTTGAATTCTTGGGCTTCCTGCCTCCATTTCCCAGATACTAGAACGACAGGTGGGTGGCACCACACCTGAAGTGTTGCTTCTTTGGGTTGCCATTCTGGGTTGTCCACATCTTGTGATGATGCTTATATCAAATAATTAATTTAAATGCCTCACTAATAGGAGATCAGGACTTCATATAAATCAGGATGCCCACAAATCTTCTGAATTGCAGGCAAAATTTTAAGTAGATTCATTTCTTCTGGGGTAAGGATTTAGAGCTCGGACCTATACCTCAAAAATAAAGGGGGTGCCACTACACTGGATTATGGGTCCCTGGTAAACAGTGACTTCCATTCTCAGTTTCTGTCTGAAGATGCCCCATGTTTGCTGAGTGAGAAATGTTTATAGTTTATTCTAGTAAAGATACACGAATCAACTTCTCCACTCATGGTTTTCTCTTCCCTCAATCTCATAGTAATCCCCCTGCCTTCATTCCCTTCGCTGTGATAACATGTGTTTCCACTACACTTGATGAAAGTAAAGATAAGCAAGAATGTAAGGCAAACCCTGACAATGTGAGGAGGATGGGCTGAGAGATGAGGTGAGCTCTCAAGTTTTATTTCTTCTTCATTAAGTATGTTGATTTGCTTTTCAAAATGTTTTCATTTCTCCATTTTTTACTTTGTGGGGGTGGTGAAAGCATTACACCACATACATGTGGAGGTCAGAAGACAATTGTGTGAATTGGTTCTCTCCTTCCACCACACAGGCCATGTAGCTTGAGCACAGGTCACCAGTGGCAAGTACCTCCACACACCATACATCTCACAGACACAGTCTGTTTATCTTATAATCAGCACTTGGTAGTTTGGAATTTTTAAAATGAGCTTTTAAACTGGGATTTTTTCAACTATTTATCTTACGTGACTTTGTTTTATGTGTGTGTTTTGTTGTCTGTATATATGTTGTCCACTATGTGTGTGCAGTACCCACAGAGGTCAGAAAAGGGTGTCGATCTTCTGGAGCTAGAGTTACAGATGATTGTGAGCTCCCATGTGGGTTCTGAGAAATCAACCCTGGGTCCTCTGGGAAAGCATCCAGTACTCTTAACTACTGAGCTGTCCATCTCTCCAGCCCCTGGTCCATTACTTTTTAAGACAAGTCCTTACTCTATAGCTCAGGCTGACCTAGAATTTATTATGTAGCCCAGTCTGGCCTTGAACTCTTAGCAGTCCTCCTGCCTCAGTCTCCTTAGTATTGTTGGGCTTTTACCTAGGAAGAATTTTTTTCAAAATACATCAAGATTTAGCTTCAAATCTTAGCTGTTCTATTTATTTAGTTTTGTCATCCTGGAAAGGTAAGAAATCTTTGGCCTAGGCAAGCATGAGAACCTGAGTTCAAATACCCAGCACTGTAACCCCAGTGCTAGAAAGGGATGAAGACAGGCAGATCCTGGGAGCTTGCTGGTCAGTCAAACTGACACTGTGAGTGCCAGGTTCAGTGAGAGACCCTGTCTCGAAAATAAGGTGGAGAGCAATAAGGGAGATGTTCAATGGTGACTTCTGGCCTGCATGCATGGACTGGCGGACACACCTGTATATGCATGTGCTCAAACACATGCACCCACACACCCCATATACAAGATAAAAACTCAAAATGCAAGCTCACTAATTGTGGTAAGCTGGTCTAGTCCAAATGGTTATTATGTGACAAAGTCAGAACAAAGTGGGGACTCAGAACATATTATCTCACTGTCATCTTTCCAGACAGTTTTTGCAATCCCCAATGACATCCCAAATGGAACTCAATTAAAACAGTTTATTCCTTGTCAGTATCACAGGTAAGCATTCATACATACAGTAAGAGTCTGAAGTAGCATGGCTGGTTTATAGGGTGGCTATTATTTCTGGCTGCCATCTAAAGAAATTCTTGTTTGTCTAGTTGATGTTTTTCAAACAGAGGCTTACAAAACTCTCCCACTCAATTTTTTATAACATGCTTCTATTTCCAGAAGGATCTCTGCTCAGCACCACACTTATCTGTGCTCCCACTAGAAACAAGGTCTTAGCAGTTTTCACTCACCTCGTGCCTCGTCTCCAGGAGGAGACATCACATCAGGTTTTGGAAGTCTTCTTCCTGATTAGAGGGTCTATAAAAGACAAAATGCCATTGGCAATGACAACTACCTTACATTCTAGACCATACTCTCCCCATATAATTGTGCAATGAAATCTTACTGTATTTGTATTACACTGTTAAAATTCCCTAATTGTTCAAACCCATGTTGAGTTTAAGGGAAAAAAAAAGAGCAAGTCCTTGTGTCCCTTCTCTTCAGAATTTATCCCTTTGGAGTAAATAAAGCAAGACTATACTATAAAGACTTATCCATTTTAAGATGATAATACACTTAAGACTACTACAGAATGAATTAGGGGCTTTGTTCCATCAAGAGTTCACAGCAGTTGATCTAACCCTACAATATTGAAAACCACAAACCACAAATCCAGGGTTGCTTCCTCAGTATCCCACACTGAAGGAAGTATTCCATTCTAAAGTCTCAAAAAGCTACTTTAAGTGACAGGTGAAATGGGTTTGTAAGTAGTTTTTCTGTAAATGGATAATTGAGGTGATCTACCATAAAAATTAAGTTCAAATTAACTTGGAAAACACTCTGAAATTTGTATGTTTTTGCTTGTGGCATGGCAGATTCCAAGTCGGCTGATTTTTAAAAATTGTATTCTCTAACGCTCTGGGGAAAATTTAGTTGCTCACTCTGCCCAAATGAGAAAAGTTAGCAGGAGAGTAATCACACGCACCTCTCCATGGGGGTTAAGGGACATAAGAGGCTGGACGAGGGAGAAGGGGACAGGGACACTGTGACTGACTAAGTCACCTTCATCATTTGGTCAAGAGTTCCATCCTTCAATCTGAGCAAATTTGTGTTTATTGCCAGTTCGACTTGCTCTTCTTAATTTTTCCTTTAATCTTACTATAAATCTTTCTTAAAATTTTGCCTTCATACATGGTGCTGTACTTTGTTCTAAAGGTTTAAAAGTGGCGGGCCAAGACTGATACTGCATCCATCAGACACAGCTATTTGCCACCCAGAACTAACACATCTTCCACTAACCCCTAGTTCTGGGTCAATAACCCCTTTGAATGATTATATTCCCCTTTCTCCCTCATGGTTAGCTTTTTCTTAAAAGAGAAAACACGCTGGGCATTGGTGGTGCACACCTTTAATCCCAGCACTTGGGAGGCAAAGGCAGACGGATCTCTGTGAGTTCGAGGCCAGCCTGGTCTACAAGAGCTAGTTCCAAAGCTACACAGAGGAACCCTGTCTCGAAAAGCCAAAAAAAAAAGAGAGAGAGAGAGAGAGAGAGAAAAAACACATCTTTTCTTCCCACTCGTACTTCGTGCTGGTTGACTAACAGGGGGCTAGGTAATCTTTTGGACTAAGACGTGGTCTGCCACGCCTGAGCCACACAAAGGAACCTGAGTCCCTCCTTGGAGTAACTTATCCAACTGCTCTGAAATGGTTAAGTCTCCATTTTGCTTGCTTATATTTTTAGTAATATGAGAAATGAATATCTTGTTTAAAGCCCTCTTATCTTGGCTTTTCCCATCACATATAAATGAATCCAATCCTTACTGATATGCTAGCCCTCTAGGAAGCTATCTAGAAACAAGACCTACTTTTAATTCTGGAACATTCTCTCACACTTCCTCTGAGACTGCCATTTCTACTTACTGATGATAAGTGAGCTACTCTTCAGTAGTCTAGTGTGCCCCTCCAGCTCTCATTTTTATCCCTCCCCTGTTCGCTGCTCAATTTACACACACAATCATTTGAGCTCTTCAGGTAGGAACTTCAGCCACTCTTTGAGGAAAAGAAAGAAAGCTTGACCAAAATTAAGATTTCCATTTTTGTCAGGCAGTGGTGGCTCACCCCTTTAGTCCCAACACTTGGAAGGCAGAAGCAGGCAGGTCTCTGTGAATTCGAGAGCAGTCTGATCTACAGAGCGAGTTCCAAGACAGCCAGGGCTAAACACAGAAACCCTGTCTCGAAAAACCACTAAATAAATTTGTTTCTTTTTGAATTAAGAAAAACAGAGTTCCTTGAATTTGACAGTATTCATTAAATACATGTAGTGAAAAGGGTGTGTGTATGTGGTGGTGAGAGAAGTTTTTTACAAGGAGCTAGTAGTCTAACAGGAAAGATGAGTCACACAAATAAATAAATAGGACCCACAATGCATGTGAAAAACAGAATAAGTTCAGAGGACAGAGGACGAGCTCCAGCTTCAGGAAAAGAGGCTTTGAGCTGAGCTTTGCAGGAAATGGTAAAACAAACAAACAAACAAAAAAAAAAACAAAACAAAAAAACAGGATCCCAACAGAACATGGTGATGAGCACAGGTGGATGTAAGAGCATGTAAGTCACAGCAGAACACGGTGCAGAGCACAGGTGGATGGATCCTAGGGAGCAGGTAAATACAGTAGAAGGACAGGCAGGCTGGAGCAAACAGAATGCCATGGATATCTACTTGCAGGCTGGTATACAGTGAAGAGAATATAGAGTGGCTGAGGGTTTTAGGCAGAGGAGCAACAGGTCAGCCTTTGGGTTAGCAGATGACTTGAGTGTTATCCAGAGAAGCCAGCAGCAGAGGGACCAGTGAGGTGGGTCCCTTAATGACTTGGAAAGATAATGATGGCCTGAATTTGAAAGCTACTATTTAAAAAGGTGGGCACAGATGGAAGTGGCTGTTGACAGTTCCTACATGAGCTGAAAGCCTGCTTTGCTTAAGAAAATGAGTTGAGCTCTAGCAAAGATTCGGAAGTACAAAATATAACTAACAGATTTGACAAAATTAAATTGACTGGAAATGAGGAACTAAAGCTAGAACATACTATAATAATGAACTTGATATGTGCACAATATTAATAGAGCCTTAGCTTTGTTTTTGCCAAATGTCATTTGGAAATGCACTGACTATGCTAAGAGATAGGAATGGTAGCCACAAACAATCTTCATAAAGACAACCATTGCTGGGGATGGTAGCACACATCTATAATTCTTGCACGAAGAGGCTGAGGCAAGAGGATCTACGTGAGTTATAGGCCAGCCTGGGCTACATAGCAAAAGCCTTTCTCACCTCTCCCAAATAAAAGAAAGAAATACAGTTAGGGCTAGAGGAATTGCTCAGTGATAAATGTTGACCTAGTATGTGCAGTGCTCTGGGTTTATTCTTGAGCACTGGAAAAGGTGTTGGGGGGATTCCAAAGAAATATGGCCATCAGCTAAAATAATAGCAGAGCATTTTACACAGCAAGGTTCTCTCTGTGTCTGTCTCTTTGTCTCTTGTTTCTGTCTGTCTCTGTCTGTCTGTCTCTCTCTCTCTCTCTCTCTCTCTCTCTCTCTCTCTCTCTGTGTGTGTGTGTGTGTGTGTGTGTGTGTGTGTGTGAGAGAGAGAGAGACAGAGAGAGAGAGAGAGAGAGAGACAGAGAGTCTTACTATGTAGTCCAAGCTGGCCTGAACAGAAATCTCTACATAGCCTAGGCTAGCCTTAAACATATGCTAATTCTGCCTCACTTCTCTCAGTCAGGGATTTCTTTCTTTTCTTTTTTCTTCTTCTTTTTTTTTTTTTTTTTGGTTTTTTTAGACAGGGTTTCTCTGTGTAGCGCACTCGCTCTGGAGACGAGGCTGGCCTCAAACTCACAGAGATCTGCCTGCCTCTGCCTCCCGAGTGCTGGGATTAAAGGCATGCGCCACCAACACCCAGCTCAGTGCTGGGATTTCAAGCATGCATTACCATGCTAGCTAGCTTAGTTCCTTACACAACTCACAAGTTATCCCTATATACATCTTTATGGACTATCTTTAATCACCCCATGCTCTATAAGAGCATGAAAATCTTACAATATTTGCCTCTTTGTTGCTCACTCTGTTGCCAGCAGAGCCTGGGGCAACATGGGAAGGGCTTGGCATGAAGCCTTAAATAGCTTTGAGTTGAGTAGGTCCCGAGGATGAATCCAAGATAGGTACTCCCTCATCTTAAGAGAATTCCTATAATTGTCTCCAGATGGACGGATCTGAGCACTGACCAGCGCTTCCTCCTCTATTGTCTGATTGTTTTAGGATCACCTCTTTATCAACACGGCAGGAACCAGCAGGACCGAACTCTCCAAACTTTGAAAGCCCTCTCCGCTATGAGCAGAGCAGCGTGTGACCTGTTTAGCTTATCTTATTTGGGGCACTTACATGCCTTAAAAATAAAATGGAGATTTTATTTTTCTTCAGTGACAGTAAAGTGGTTTCTGGCATTTTCTCCAGAGGCATAAGTGATTAATCAAGTCCTAGGAGCCTGACCACAGTGATGCCACAGACGCTGGTGAACCGCCTTTCTGTCTTAAGCAAACTGGGTGGCTGGGGGAGGGGCTAAAAGAGGACAGAAGCAGCAATTTGACCCTGTCCCTGAGAGAAAACTACAAAGAATCATTATCTTAATGATTTTTACATTTTATAAAAATCCAGAAGCTAAGAAAAACATTAGACAAATCATATGTCTAATCAAAGTCAAATATTCTTTTTAAAAGACCAAGGTGTCCTCCACCTGCAATCCCAGCACTGGGTAGGTGGCAGGAGGGGCAGAAGTTCAAGGTCATACTAGCTACAGCTTGAGGCCAGCTGGAATACATGAGACCCCATCTCAAAAACAAACAAAATATCAAATGTTCTGCATCTCACCATCTGTGTACATGTGGGGCAGAGGGCAGTCTATGAATTGGGTTTCAAATTACCTACAAATCTGAAATTGCATGCAAAAATGTTTCATTTTACTTTTTCTTGTTTGTTTTTTAAGGTACAAAGACTACTTTCTACAGATCCTTGAAAGTCCCCTTTGCTCCCCCAAAAGCTAAGAATGACTGTTATTAAAGGAAGCATTAGAGGTTATTAAAGGAAGCAGCAGATGGAGACAAGCAAGAGAGGGCTCTGACATTGACTAGGGTTTCTTGGTGGCTGAACACACTGAGGTGTAGGACTCTGGAGAAGGGAGAGGAGGAGAAAATAGAGAATCTGGGAGTCCTATCTCTTCTGCTCCAAGGAAATCAAGTAAATGCATGTGAAGTCTTTGCTTGGAACTTCTCTGTTAATGCTTAGCTTGAAAACATTTCATTTCTTTTTGTATTAAAAGGTTATAGCAGGGCTGGGGAGTTAAGAGCTCAGAGGTTAGGAGCACTAACAGCTATTCCAGGGCACCTGGGCTCAACTTCCAGCACCCATGTGGCAGATCACACCTGTCTGTTACTCCAGGATCCAGCAGCTGCACACAGATACACAGGCAGGCAAAACACCCATGCATATAAAATAAAAATAAAGAATTTTTTTAAAAAGTTAATAACAGGGGCTAGGGATATAGTTCAGTGGTAGAGTGTTTGCCTAACATGTATAACACCCTAAATTTAATCCCCAGCACTTGAAAAGATTAATAACAGTATGATCTTCCTTTCAAAAGCCTAAGTTTTCAAATAGATTTAGCATTATCTCTTTCAGACTCATGGTATCAACAAAAATATGAATCCTAATTAGAGTTAGTAGAAACTTTTGGGATAAAGGTATCAAAACCCTTTCTTTATGATGAAACAAAATTTCTGATCATTTACACTGAATCTTTCCAAAGAAATCTCCACTGAAATATCAATATTCTGCATGACCTGAGTTTGTACTGAAATGAGCTACCTGGAGAAAATAAGTGCACAAGGACCAGTCTGTACGCCCATATGCTACAGCCTCAGCATCTATGATGCATGTAACTGCAGTACTAATTGTTATGGAATCAAAATAAAACACATACACTTTCAAAAAGCAGTAAGCCTTTGAGTGAAATCTAGTTGTTTTTTTAATCACATCCCAAACCCCTATGAACTATTTAGAAAATGTTTCACAAATGATTGCCTCTATGTAATGAACTCATCTGTACGTATGCTCAATCTGTTACCGGACATAGTACATAGAACACTGATGACCAAAAACTCTCTACCCTTTTCTTTGTCAGAGAGGCATAAACTAAACATCCAGCATTCCTCATCTTTCCCATGCTTTAATTAGTCTTAATCCCAAAGAGGCGTGCATGTGTTGGCTTAACACTGTCTTGTAAACCTAGAATTCTATCATCTTTCCTTCAAAACTGTTCTTAAAATTTAACACAGCTTCAACTAAATATGTAAATGTACAGAACCGATTCACTCCCCAGACATTTCCTGTGCTGACAGTCTGCAAAGGGAGATTAAGACATAATATAAACATTAATCAAGAAATGAACAACTGTTTTACAAATTGTAATTCCTGGAGCAAAAGTTACTTATTTGAATGTCTGCTTTAAATAAATATTACCATATTTTGAATTTGAGTTAGCACAATAGATAAAGGCAAGTGGCTTTTGTTCTCTTATAAAAACATTTTCTCTTTCCGCAGCTCTTGGGGCATGACTTACCTCATAGTACTTGCTGTGGTTAGCTCATCCTTAGATCAAGGCTTTTCTGGAGTCTGAAAGAACTTACAGATGACAGAAAGAAGCAGTGAAGAGGATCACCTTCCCTAGAAAGGAGACTGTCATGTGCTAACAGGCTTTTAAATGAGGGAAACTAGTGTGTCTTCTAATTACATAAGCTCCAGGTCAACTAATCAAATAACTGAACCTAAGACTGGTTTCCAGGGATAGGAGGCAGAACACTGCTTCAGTGGGACGGCTCAGCTTCTTAGAGAAACAGAAGACTCACACACTGCAAAGTTACGTATTTAAAAAGTAAAATACATAGCTTGATACCTAAACACTGAAGAAAAATTTAGTTCATTGCAAAGCATGAACTTTCTGCAGGGTATTCCAGATGTTCCTAACTGGCATTGTGTGCCCAGTCCCTGACGCCATCCTCTCATCTCACCTGTCCAGGGCTCAGCTCTGCACAATCACAGTGATTTTATTTCATTTAGAGCAATACTGGCTAATGGTAAGCAACATATCCAAAAATGTCTAGTTTTTTACTGTATGATGAACACTAGAGTCTTCTGAAAGTAATAACAAAGCGATTAGCAGAAAATAAAAATACAATTTTTAACACTTCAAAAGATATTTTAACCCAAATTTCTATTAGTACACTAAAAAATAGAAAATATTTTATGTCAGTAACATTGAGAAACACATTTACAATATTTTAAATGAAATATGACACAGAAGTTATTCAACACTTTTTTTTTTCTTTTTGGTCAGTTTTGGAATAGTTTCAGGTCTGGAGAGGTAGCTCAGAAGTTAAGAGCACTGGAATACTTTCAGCAAAAAAAAAATCAGATCTTTACTGTAATTTTAAAACTATAGAATGACCTATACTATTTTGATAATTTTTCCATTCAAATTATTTTATTTTTAATTGTACATGTTTATAGGTACAGTGAAATAATTCAGTAATGTAGTTATGATGCTTTCAAACATTATTTGAAAAAGTAGGTTTCTGGGGGCCTGAGGAATATAGCTTAGTTAAAATTTCTGGGCACAGACTATATAACTACAGATTTACATTTTAGAAACTGAGATATAATTCATATACTGTACATAAAATTGTCCCTTGGAAGCGACTAGTTCAGTATATCTTAGTATATTTACAAGATTATTTTATTGTTTAAGAATTTCATGCATACATATGTGTTTTGCTCAGATCCACCCCCCATTCCCTCCTGTTGTAGAATATTATTTTAAGGTGTGTGACTTTTGTTTATGCTACATTTGTTTAACTTTGTGAAGCTGTGTTACTGTCCTGTCTAAAACACCTGATGGTCTAATAAAGAGCTGAATAGCCAATAGTGAGGCAGGAGGAAGGACAGGCATGGAGAATAAATGGAAGGAGAAATCCAACAGGAGCAGGAGAGAACAAGGAGAGGAAGATGTCAGGGGCCAACCAGCAACAGAGTAAGAGTGAAATTAAAATATACAGAAGAAAAGGAAAAAGCCCAGAGGCAAAAGTTTGATGTGACAGATTAAGAAAAACTGGCAAGAAACAAGCCAAGCTAAGGCTAGTAATTTATAAGTAATAATAGGTCTCTCTGTGTGTGATCTATTTGGGAGCTGGGTAAAGAGTAAAGAGCCCAAAGAAGGAAGAAAAAACAAAAAACGACAGTCCTCCCCTCTCATTCTCTATTGTCCTCCACCATAACTTTTCCTCATGTGGTCTTATCCCAAACCTTCTGAATCTATGGATGTGGCTGAACTGAGGACCATCTACTGGAGAATGAGCCTCTCTCAGGGGCCTGCATCCCTGAGGAAAAGTGACTGTTGGCTGCAGCAGCCATCAATCGCTAAGAGCTTCACAATTAGAGGTGGGGCTTCATGAGTCCCTCCTCCACCCATGCTGGGATTTTTAGCTTTTTTTTCTTGATAGGTTTCTATGTAGCCATGTCTGGCCAAAAATGACTTTGAACTACCTCTACGTCCAAAATGTTGGGATTAAAGACATTTGCCAACATATCAGGCTTTATACAAGACTATGTAAGCATAACCATCACCTAGTGCTGGGGCACTTCTGTCATGACTGGGTATACACAATGTATTTTGAATATATCCATCTCCATTTCCATTTCCCTCCTCCAACTCCCCCCACGCCAACAAAATCCCTCAGTTTTATTGTAAAGCAGGCTGGCCTTGAACTCACAGAGATCCACCTGCCTCTGCCTCCCTAGTCCTGGAATCAAAGGCACGCACCACCACCACCTGGAGCATGTGGCTTTTTTAAAATGTGATTTCTGGGGATGCAGCTTGATCCTCATTCTTGTATGTCAAACAATTTACCAATAGGGCTACCTTCCCAGTCCTGGATGGCCTGAAACTTTCTATGAAAACCAGGCTGGACTCAAACTCAGAGATCCACCTGCCTCTGTCTCCCAAGTGCTGGGATTAAAGGTGTGTGACATCACACATGGCCAGTTATGTCTTTTTAAAATATATATTTAATTTTATGGTGCTGGGGGGTGTCCCACGATAACCGCCTCGCCAGCAAAAACGACACGGGGACACTCCTCAGGATCCTTCTGCAGTAAAGCTTTAATGCCTCTTGAGAGGAAGAGCATCAGCTTACAAAATGTGAAAGACCCGCTAGGAATGCCCCTGAGCCCCCTGCCCCGAAGCTGCCGGGGCCTCCCAAGCCTTCAC